TTTTGGATAATTTTGACATGAAATATATACTTAAGGCAAAAATGTGATAAGTGATTAAGTTTCGTGTTTTATTTCCTTGAATGGTATAACATTTAAAATCAATAGTTCCAAAATTCCTCTAGGTAAGTTGGCGGTAAGGGCAGAAAGGCGCAACACTCTCGAATCCCACCTGCGAGCTGCATATAAGCATTCTGTACCGTGCCACGCACATAGGGTAAAAAATCCCTCCTCGTGAGTGGATATGACTTCCGATGACATCACTTCTTCTACGCTTAGGAACATTTTGACTTTGCTTTGGCTCGAGGGTATACCTCCATACTGTTTTTACAATTTGTTAGCAGTTCCGAAAACATTATTATGTACTTTGTATTTGTATTGCTATGAGATAACACTTCTTACAAAACTGTAAGGTGGTGAACTTAATATAAAAAAAGTAGTGGTCTTTTTTTCCTCTAGAGAGAAAAAGTATTATTTCTTCTTGTTCCAACTCCGTAAATGTGTACTAATAGAGAGGAGAGAGTTTTTAATAAATATATTCTCAGAGGTTTTTAATAAATATATTCTAAATTTAAAACCCTTCATATTAGAAGTGTTGTGATTATTAATTCCTTATTTCATGTTCATTATGTACATTCTCTGCAGATGCAATCTCCGAAAGCATGAGACAAGTCAATTTTCGGAAATAGAAAACCCGACGTCGGAAGTTAAATAGTACTCACTAAATTAACAATATTTATAATCAGTTGATAAAGTAAAATTTATTTTTGAAGTTTGACTAATATAGATTTGGAGCAGAGAAACAGATACATATTTAAATTGAATAATATTATTATGATATTGCATTTAATGTATAAATCTTTTGTACTTGCATAAAAATAGTGTTTGTCAAAAAAGAAATTCCTTTCTACATAAGTGTATTACATTAAAGCACATACTGAATGCACTTTTTTTTCATTTACCAACGCATATAGAAATGCTTAGGATTCCACAGTGTATTTATTTAAACTGAAAGTGAGAACTAGAACTGACAACGAAATACTGAGTTCGAGTGACAAAAACAACAAGATAAAGGTAAAATAACCCTTTATTCCAATCAAGTGTAACAGAACTGGAGTTGTACAATAAAGCCGACACTTGGGCTTGAACTTAAGAGACTAAGAATCAAACTAAACTAATTTTAACTAAAGAGATGTAGCCGAAGCTATCAAAATTCTAACAGAGTTGGCCGCTTAAGGCAAATAGGCTGCGAATGTTATCAAGGGCCTAAAGTACGGCCCAGCGTAATAATAGCTTACGAGAGAATATCCTAAAAAGGCGGACGCGTACAGCCAGAATATCTGGTATCTCTCTCTCTCTAAGACAGTAGAACTTTGCGGTTAACTACCGCTCTTCCTCATTAGCATTCAGACGGGATTCTAAAACTGCGTTCTGGCCGGAAGTGGTAAGTTGAAATTAAGAATCAATAGAAAAGGAAGTTTAATTAAAAATTTAACTGTTAATAAAATTAACATAATCCTTACATAGACATGGATAGGGAAATATCATAACATTTGCAAAGGAAATATTTTCTGCAATATGAAAGGAACAGAATGCAACAAAACTGCAATAATAATAATAATATACTCACTAGAACACAATGCCTTTATAGTTGGATCGAGGTCGTCGTGTTTTGATTTTTGCACTAAATTCATGAACTCAGCTATTTGTATAATTTAAGCGCTTAAGATTGCTTCTGATATTAACAGCATCTTTGAAAGATTTCATAATTTTATAATTCCATGAAACAGGAAGCCATATGTAGAACGCTAAAGCTAAATGTTTTCGTTTTAAAGAAAAAGGAACGATAATTTTCACGCTTCCGTGTCATTCGTCGATAACAAAACCGTACAAATTCCGTCTAAGCGTCATTACGATGACGAGAAAATGATGTCATCGAAAGGTATGTCCGATCACAAGGTAGGGATTCTTCCCTATGCCCGTGGCGCGGTACAGAATGCTTATATGCCTGCGGGCTGCTTTTGGTCAAAACGTAGGTAGGGCTTCTACAAATAGCTCTCGTGTTTTACATCAATTAAATGAAGTAAGCTTTAGTTAAATTTCCCATTAACAGTTTTTAAGTGGACATTTTTAGATGCTTGTATTTAGAGTTATGCATGAATGCTAAAAAGGAAGCCAATATTCTACATATACCTAAATTGCTGGCCTACTGATTAGCGTAGCAATTTAAGTATATGTAGAACATTGCCTTTAAAAGTCAACTCTCAAATTCAGTGCGTTACAAGTAAATAAATACAAATGAGAATGTATGAAATGATAAGTTGAAGTTTAAATTCTAGAATCCAAGCAGCTTTCTCATATTTTACATTCTTCTCTAATCTATGCAAAATTACCTTTTGTGGGATTTTATTTATATTGAAATATACATGCATTTTTAATAAGCGAAATAATTTTTTGAATGTTAGCAACATGTCATGAGATATCTTCAAATTGGTAACATTAGTTTTTTACTTTTATTTACGCTTTTTATCATATTTGCATTGAATGGGATTTTAAAGAAACACTGTAATTGAAAATTTAACAAAAAGGAGTCTTTTTAATATATATGCTTCCCCTACATCTTTTTAACGTAATTTAAATATAAAAATTGAAATAAAATGAAACCTAATGTAAATCACAATTTGAAAACCCGTATTATAGTTCAAACTGTCAAATTATGATACACGAAAAGTAAAACCAAAAGAGTTAGATTAAATTTAAAACAGTTATCATTCTAGACTTGCGTGTACTTAACGCATAAATTGAAATTGATGACTAAAGTTACTGTAGAGTGTGTGTGTGTGGTTATGGCAAAGCCTCGAGGGCTATCTGCCTAAAGGGAAGAGATGCCTTCGTGGAGGACTTTCTAAGGGAAACTGGCTCGTATACACGTTACACATGGGAACCACGAACCCGTTCGGGGGATTCGAACCTCGGACCGAACTACCAGTGTTCAGCGACTTTACCGCTCGGCCGCTGGTGGGCTTAAGAGGAAATTAAATATTTGCTAAGCATTTTAAGCCAAAAATATTTAAATGATTTCAAGAAATTCTGTGTTCTTGCAATGCTGATCGATATGAAAAGAAATTTGATGCAAATATGGCGTCGTAATGAAATTGTTTTATTTAAATAAATATTGCTCTAACGTGCTTCATCCAGAAATAATGTATCTATATATAGTAATACAATATTAGTAAACTAATATTTGTTTTTCTTTTTTATTAGGATAATTCAGGAAAATATTCCTTGTTTAACAACAAGAAAAGTGGAAGTGAGTTCAGTTGGACAGACAAAACTACTAGTAACATTGTTTATTACAATGCCACGGATCCGTCGGGGAACACAGCCGTTTGCAAATTTGTAGTTAAAGTTAAACGTACGTATATGTCTATTTAAAAGTCTGCGAGTGTCATTCGCGAAGTATCTTTTTTTTTTTTTTTTTTTTTTTTTTTTTTTTGTGCATTATCCTTCTTAGGTTATGTATACCGATCGTTTTAGAAAACAGGTTGAATTTATTGATAATAAACTAGCATTATGTATGTAACTAGCATTATGTACCAAGAATGTAAGAAGAGTGGAAAATTTTGTAAATTTATATTTCATAGCCTGGAAGATAAAGTGGCTACCGTAAATTAAGACAAAATCATTGTAAACAAAAAAAAAAAAAAAATCTGCATGGGGAGATTTTTATGCAATTTCGTGAAAACAGAAATTGCGTTGTAAGTTTCCGAATAGAATTTTGATGTTCTGAATGGAATTTTAATCAGAAAACATTTTTCTCACCTAGATGTGACCTCAATACTCTGAGCATTGAAATACGTATGTTCAGGATATATATCTAAAGAATACCACTTCAAACTTTCGTAGAATTACTGTAGGATAGTACCAGGATCTCAAATTCGTAAGCGCAGCGGTCGTAGTGGCAGGAAAAAACGGACAGGGGCAATCTTACAGCACACTCAGTCAGCAAATTAATGAATGCTGAGGGCATGGTGTTGGAGATATAGATCCTTTATACGCTGCATTTATATGGTTGTACTGCAATGTAATTTCTTGAATAGTTCATTTATTTTAATTAATTTTGTTAGCACGTTTTAATTATATTTTTAACAATTCGTTTCCTAATTCTTTGTCTTATTTAAGGTGTTTCTGTTTGTTTCATAACTTATAATTTTCTACATACACAGGATTCTGAATTCCTTTCCTGATCCTCTATAGTACATAAATGATAACTCTTATTCTTTGGCTGCTATGCTTGCTTTAATAACCATATTTAAGATTTTCATCACATTCTTAACTTCATTCTTCTACCTTCATTTGGTACTTGTTCATATCAGTCTCATAATCTGAGCACTCACCTTTAATAATTCCATTATGTAAGTTTATACATAATTTTTTAATTTCATTTAGTTTTTAATTTTCGTAACTTATAACTTCCTGCGTATCTTCAGTATTCTTGTGTTTATCTTAGCTTTTAATATTTTTTAAATGTAATGATTTGTGTCACGTGTTTCTTGATGCGTTTTCTTGCTTATTCAGTTATTTTACTAAATAAAGCTTACAGTTTCCAGATCAGGTAGTACGTTAAATCTTTCAGTTCAATTTTCGCTCAATTTTCAGCTCTACTTTTGAAACTTTATTATTATTTTTATTTAATGAGTATAAAATTTCCAAAATATAAGTATACGAACCAAAATTCAGTGTTTAGATTTATTTTTCACGAAGCATCCTTCATGATTTGACTTGAAACCTTTTTTGACATGCTAATCTTGCGCTCCGTTCATTGGTTATCACATTCTTCCGCATGGCTTCCAGATCGCGATTTTACTTTACAGTTTGTATCACTAACTAGTAACGCAGTAAATGCTAGTTTCTATCGTCATAGAGTAACAATAATTCAGTAGACTTTACCTTCTGATTTATATTTGATTCGCATACACATCTTCTGCATTCAGAACTTCAAAACTACTTCTCATGTGCAAAAATAATCTTTTTATTTTTATACAACTAATGTGATACATATTCGACCAACTAGTTCTACATAACTTCATTATTTGTATAAATTAATGTGAGCCTAAAGCTTTTGAGACATCGACATTTTTCCATGTATTTTTTTTTAATAAATACTGTTTATAATTATGACATTGTCTTATGATGCATAGCTGCTTAATTTAATTTTGGGTTTTTCTCTTTTAATATTATTCACAGATTCTTTTGGTGACCGACAGTATACTTTTATTTAATATATAATATATTCTAGGTTTAGCAAACTGTATATTTTTACTTAGCAATGTGTAGAATTACTTTAAAAACATGTGTGTAAGTGTATAAGTATTTGGTGTTGCAGCTTATTCTTGTCCATATTATAATCCACCTGCAAATGGAGTGCTGACTTGCGATACATGGGCAGATGGACGACTATGCAGTGTGTTTTGCCACGAAGGATATGAATTCGTCGGCAATAAAAATGTTCATAAATTATATATGTGTGATCAAAGAGTGAGAAACGGAAAGAGTGTAAGCAAGTGGATCCCATTTCCCTCCGCTGGGCAATCTCCAGACACTTTTAAGGTGCCATGGCCCGACTGTTCAAGTAAGTGAAATTTTTTTTACTGAATTTCTGTCGTACTTCTATAATAAGCTTGTGTCTTAATTAATTTTGAATTTCTCTTGCCCGCGTTACTTTTTCAACAACCATATAATTCAGCATCTAATTTACTCAAAAGCCGAAATTTGGAAGTGTTCATTTAAAATAGGGTGCATTTAAGATGCATATTAATTTCCTAAATATAAGAAGTTATGAAGATTAAAATTAAATTTAAGAGCAATCTTACGTGTTATCCTTCCAAAAGATAAAGATACCGACAGGAAATGTACTTAGGACGAAAATGAAACGTGACAAAATTTGAATGGAAAAGAATATGAATAACATATAAAAGACTGAAAACGGGAATACTTCAAAATATGAATTTATGTGTCCTATTTACTTGCTTTCTCTTCTCATTTCGCGAAGAGTCTCTCTGTTTTCATTCTTTTCACAAAATCAAACTACAGTTTCTGATTTAATCTTTAGTAATTCAAATTCTGTCATTCAATTTAACTATATGCGATAATTGCAGCTGTTTCATAAACGCTTCCATTAAATTTTTCACGTTATATGTTTCTCCTCGTTTTCATCGCTGTTACATATTACAATAAATATTTTACTCTTACCCATATTTATTACATATTTCTTAACACTGTAAAACAGTGTTAAAAAACTATCAAATTCAACTTTATTTCTGCTCTTAACTATATTCTAACGAAAAGCTGACTTTGAAACAATTTAATATTTCTATGCTATCATTCAATAAAATCACAAAAATAATCGTAATACAATAGGTCAGCCCTGTGCAGGGGATCAAAGTAACTAAATAATAGCAATGGTACAGTTTTGAACAATTACTTGAAAACCTCTATTTTCTAAAAAGTGTAATTTAAATCTTGAAATGTTTAAGTTTACCTCGACACGGTGTCGAAGTATATGAAAATAAAGTATATTTTACTTCTCATGTGGACATGCAAAAGTTGCAAACAATTAAAAAAGTGCTTCATTTTCGAAACTTCTGAACAAGAGTGTGTTTGGCTCATAATTGCTACAAATTTATAGATCTTTTATTAGCAGTTATAACAATTAGTTTTATTTCCGAGGCTTGCTACAGCAGTCGTATATCTGTATCAATAGTCATCTTGTATTAAATAACAAAAATCAGTATCTGCCCTTATTTAAGGAAAAAGGAGCTTTGCATTTTGCGCGATGAACAAATGATATACCAGTGCATAGAGAATTTTCATTTTTTTTTTTTCGATTTCCTCATTCAGAACCATGACTAGTATTGTCTCGGCAACTGAAGACATCCAAGACGGGAAGCATATAAGCATTCTGTACCGCCCCAGGCGCATAGGAAAGAATCCATACCTTGTGATTGGACATACCTTTCGATGGCATCATTTTCTCTTGGCGTAATGACGCTTAGGTGGAATTCTTACGGTTTTGTTTTCGACAAATGACACGGAAACGTGAAAAATATCGTCCGGTTTCTTTGAAACGAAAACATTTAGCTTTAGCGTTCTGCATATGGCTTCCTGTTTCATGAAATTATAAAATTTTAAAATCTTCCAAGATGCTGTTAATATCAGAAACAATCTTAAGCAATCTCAGAAGCAATCTTAAATTATTTAAATCATGAATTTAGTGCAAAAGTCAAAACACGACGATCTCGATCCAGCTATAAAGTCATTTTGTTCTAGTAAGTGTATTATTATTATTGCAGTTTTGTTGAATTCTGTACCTTTCACATTGCAGAAAATGTTTTTTTTTTTTTTTTTTTTTTTTGCAAATGTTATGTTATTTCCACATCCATGTCTATGTAAGGATTACGTTAATTTTATTAACAGTTAAATTTTGAGTTAAACTTCCTTTACTATTGATTCTTAATTTCAACTTACCACTTCCGGCCAGAACGTAGTTTTAGAATCACGCCTGAATGCTAATAAGAAAGAGCGGTATTTAACCGCAAAGTTCTACTGTCTTAGAGAGAGAGATACCAGATATTCTGGCTGCACGCGTCCGCCTTTTTAGGCTTTTCTCTCGTAAGCTATTATTACCTCGCGTACTTTACGCCCTTGAACTTCGCTCTGTTAGCCTTAAGGCCACTTGTTCTAATTTGATAGCTTTGGCTACGCTCTTTGTTAAAATTGTTTAGTGTTGTCTTATTCTCTTAAGTTAACCCAATTGTCGGCTTTTATTGTACAACCCGTTCTTTACACTTGAAGGGAATGATGGTTATTTACCCTTTTATCTTGTTGTTTTTGGTCACTCGAACTCAATGATTATTCTTTATCAGTTCTTAAGATTCTCACTTTCAACGGTAACTTAATTACACTGTGGCAATCCTACAGCATGTCTATATTCTTTGGTTAAATGAAGAAAAAAGTGCTCGATTGTCGCTGATTTTAAGACACTTATGTAAGAGAATTCTTTATTTGACAACACTATTTGTAATGCAAAGTACAAAAGATGTATACATTAAAAATGGGCAATATTCATAAATTAATTTATTCAATTAAATATGTACTGTTCTCTGCCCGAATCTATATTGTCAAACTTCAAAAAATTTTTACTTTATCAGACTGATTTAAATATTGTTAATTTATTAGTACTATTTAACTTTCCGACGTCGGGTTTTTCTATTACAAAATTGACTTGTCTCATGCTTTCGGAGATTGCATCTGCAGAGAATTTACATAAGGAACATAAATAAGGAATTAATAATCACAACACTTCTAATATGAAGGATTTTAAATTAAGAATATATTTATTAAAAACCTCTGCAGGATATATTTATTAAAAACTCTCTCTCTCTCTTTTCTATTAATACACATTTACGGAGTTAGCACAAGAAGAAATAATACTTTTTCTCTCTAGAGGAAAAAAGACTACTACATTTTTTACATTAAGTTCACCACACTACAGTGTTGTAGGAAGTGTAATCTCATAGCAATACAAATACAAAACACGTAATAATTATTTCGGAACTGCTAACAAATTGTAAAAACAGTATGGAGGTGTACCCAAAGCAAAGTCAAGGCGTTCCTAAGCGTGGAAGAAGTGATGTTATCGGAAGCCATATCCACTCTCGAGGAGGGATTTTTACCCTATGTGCGTGGCACGGTACAGAATGCTTATATGCAGACGGAAACAGCGGGCCCATTTGTTTTCTTTTTATGCTTTTCATTCATAAGTTCACTTCATTTGTGTCATTTACGCCTCACGAAAGCATTGCTATATTTGCATAGTGCATCTGTTACTTCAGTTTTCCTCTTCACAGCAGTCATGCATTGGCAATTCCATGTCAATTAGGTATCGAAAGATTCTTATGTACCACGTTTTTGACTGGATCGCTTTCTTATAATACTTAAAGTTAAATCTAAGTTATCAATATCTTCTGTAGATATATTATACACCTTTATGACTTTTGGATATGTAATCATTTGAAAATCATTCTTGAACATGAAGAAACTCAGTATGTCCTCAGCTGGTCGGCTTCACGCAAATAATAATAATAAATATACTAGTTTGTTTTTTTACTAAGTCACTGAAGATAAATTCACTTCAGTGTTTGCAGTTTTCTCAATGAACGATCTTCGTCCCCTTTTCTTCCGTTTTTCAGCTTTATAACACACATCCGCAGCCGCATAAATGGACATTACGTGGACATACATCTCTCTGTTTCGCTTTATCTAACTGCTAACCCAAAAGCACAACCAAACAAGTTACCATGAACAACAAGGGCCAAACATATATGAACCAATCAATATAAACATATATCAAACATATGTGAACAAATATGAAACAAATAATTTACTGATTAGAAGTGTCTATAATGACTTTAGTACTAAACGTTTTGTAGGGATTTCACATAGAAATTTCAACTTTCATGAAAATTTTTATTTTAGCTATTTTGAGCTATTTATCAAAGAAATACGAAATAAAAACTCCTTTTAACTTAAGGTCTCTAGCCATTCACAATTTGCTATATTCACTCTGCTAGAATTTCATTCGGCGTGTAACTGGTGGCAACACCTGAGTACAGCGTGTTAGAAGAGGTCTTTTTCTGGCCTGAAACTTAATTTTTCCAATAGCAGTTTTTCCAAAACCACCTATTTCATGCGACTTTAATTTAGTCACTTAGTTTTAGCGAAGAGCTAAAAATAAATATTTTTTAGTTTCTTACATTGCCCCATAAATTGCGCGAATTTTGCTTGATCGAGAATATGTGTGTGAGTATGCTATTACTAAATTGTAATAAGGTCATTTCTGCACTCAAGTCGCTAATTAAATTTCATTCCTTAACAGTTCTTTTTTTCATATGTGCACAAAAGTTAATCTTTGTTCCGACAGAAGCATTAATTAAAGCCTTAATTATTGGCTGCGGTATTCATGCACGTTTTCAAAATAAGAGGTAAATATTTAAAGCTAACTCTAGCTTTGATGAAGTAAAAATTTTACTGAATAAATGAATTTTAACTGTCACCTTTTTATGGATCTATTAAAGCAATAAAATTTCAAACTTTGCGTCGCTCATTTTTAACAGGGATATCAAATATTGTCTCTTTATTTGTAATAGTTTTACAAATATCTGAAAACCATTGCGCATGTGCATGTTGATGTACTACAATTTTTGAAAAATCTTAGTTCCCTTCATCACTACTTTGAAGTTATTTCAGCTTAAAACACTTTTTTGTCTCATACCATGTTGTGGAGAAAAAGCAAACTTTTGTCCATCAAAGTGTAACGAAAATTTTTCCTTTTTGTCTCTCTCACAGAAATGCGCAGCCCTAAAGCTCTAAACATTTCATTGGAAATGTCGTATCCCGTGCAATACTGCACAGAAGAAGTTATAAAGGAAATGAAAGAAAGGTTTATCAAAACTCTCAAGGTATTTTACTTTGTTTTTTTCTTTATAGACTTCAGTTATATTCATCAGTTTTAATAGCAAAAAAATGAGTCTTAAAATTAAAATCTGGTAGAACTGTCATTCAATAAAGTAAAACGTAAAAGCTGTAACATTTGTAAAAGCTGTAACGTTTATAACATTTAGCAAGCATTGCTTGCTAAATGTTATAAATCCTAGAGTAAATTCAACGTAACTTAAAGATCTGATAAATTCAAATTCCCTCATGAAGCTAAACAATTTGGCTATGTATTCATACTAAAAAATTATAGTAAAATATATATAAGCATATATATTTGTAATCATTTACATCAGATTTTGTACTGAAGATTTCCCGAAAAAGAAATTTTGTAAGCTATGTCTAAAGTATGGAGCTAACTTTAAATCTCCGAAAACGCAACTTTGTAAGCTATGCCAAACAAACCTTAATAAACCTTAATAACCTTAATTTACCTTAATAAGAAATATTACCACGTCTGACCTTAATACAAACTAAGTCGCAACGTTCCATACCTTCAATTAAGCGTTCAGCTGCATCAGATGGCAGCAATTGGAATTCCTATATTAAGGCAGTTTCCATCTATTTTAGAGTAACTGGAGGGATATAGGGACAGAAAGAGCAAGTCCAATAGCATCCCAAAAACCTTCGATGTGTTTGAGGTCAGGTTAATATAGTGGCTACTCCATGCGAGCAGTACAGTCAAAAGTCGTTAATCCGGACTCGTCGGGACTTCGGCGATTCCTGATTATCGATTTTTCCGGATTATAGATCATCAGTTTAAATCTGGTAAGATGGCATGCAAAAATTACAAAATTAAAATATGAAACCGTAATTTATGAAATAAAGAACAATAACGAACTAAAGGGTATCAAAATTTACAAAAAGAAAAAGCTTAATATTTTTTGTTTACTTTATAAACTTCCTTCAATGTAAGTTGCTTCGTTTCATGTGATAATACTTTCTCTTTAATTCTATTAAACAGACATAATTTCTTGTTTAGTTACAAGTTCCGCTGTTCAAGTCCTATAATTGCTGTGTTGAGAATACCGACTAATTTGTCAATCCAAATGTTTTCGTTTTCAATAACCTCTGGGTCCACTTTCTTCACTATCAAAGCGAATTATAATGACGAAGAACTTGATTTAAATCATATCAAAGACGGAGATGAAATACTACACTTAGTACGGAATTATAAACCAAATAAAATAAAAACATCTACCCTGAAGTAAGGATAGTGCTGACAGATCAACTTCCAATCCTCGGCGTGAAATTGATAAACAGATTTCGGATTTCAAAACATACTTTCGCTTTGTAGATACAAATTACATATTAGTAAATATATATCGGAAATTCTATATGACATAATCTTTCTAATCTATCATAATTTAATAATGACGTTTCTACCCCCCCCCCTCTGCCGCAGAGCAGCGTGAAATTGATAAACAGATTTCGGATTTCAAAACATACTTTCGCTTTGTAGTAAATATATATCGGAAATTCAATTTGACATAATCGAAATTTCAAGCTTACTTTTATAAAATTGCTCTAACAGTCTGCAAAAAATAATAGGCCGGATCCAATTCGAAGATTAAGGAACAACGCAATCTGCAACATTAACTGAATTAGATAACTTTAGCTTAGCGTATTACTTCGTTACACATTAAACGCGTATGCGCACAAACATATTCGCAGCCGTAAGAGTCTTACGCGCTCTCGTAAACGCCTGTGCGCATGCGTGAACGCGACGCATGCGCAGAAAGTTTGTAGCTTTGAGGTCCGGATTATAGATCATTCTGGATTATGGGTGTCCGAATTAACGACTTTTAACTGTATCATCACTCTCGAGTTATTATGAAAATTTGCTTACGTGGATGTGCACTGCAGTCCACAGGAATAAATGGACGACCAGCTGGCTGAAGAGCACAGTAATACAGAAAGGTCAAGTATTTTATCTCGATTGCTTCGTGTTGTCACAATATCTGTTATATAGATGTACTGATCGGTGCAATATTTCAAAGAAAATCCAGTCTACTCCATAACACTACTGCTACTGAAGGCGTGATGTTCTATAATATGACAGGAATTATTCCGTGTTGTCTGTGTTTTTTTTCCAGATTAAGGTCTACAAATTTATTCAACCAAAAAACTTAACTCATCTGCTAGTAACACGTTAGTCTGCTTAGTTGGCTTTCCTCTACAAATGCTGAAGACTCCATTCGAGTTGTGCTTCTCTGAATTTGACGCTTAAGGGAAGCCAAGTTCATAGTACTTAGGTATAAAGTATTTTATATTGGAGTTTTGTCGCACAGAAGTCGCAAATATCAACCTTCCTAATGTTATAATAACCATAGCTCTTAGGGTTCACATGTTCACTTGCCCATTGCGCTTACCTAATGAAGCCATATATTTATTATCAAAGGGTGCTATAATACTTGGAAGATTCGTAATAAGTCTCAGAAAAGTGCCAAGAATAACAGCAGTCGTTGTAGATGATATTGAAACACAGAAGTTGTTTACACATTTTTAGAACGATTTCTAATAGGTATAAAAAGATAATTTGGAGAAAACATTTCTGGCAGAGCTTATTATTTGAAATAAGAAATGTCGTTTTCTACTTTAAATTTATTCATCTTTCAAAATGCTGTGGATTGAAGGATATTTGCATTTTACGAAGAAACATATTCCTATCCCATAATTCAGGACGTTGTAAAATGCATGGTATAAAAATTCCTAATCGGAAAGAGGAAAAGAGTCAGTCAGTACCTCTACATGGAAGAAGACTCCAAAGGAATATCCAAAAAAGCTACATACTGTTTCTCATCTTTCTAAGATTAAATCATTGGTAACAACAGAAAATTTACCGACGCAAAAATCAATCGCAAAGTCTTTAAATACTTCTGTATCAACAATAAATAATGTAATAAACCAAGATTTACAACTTATAAAAGCTAAAAAAACATAATGTTTTTCAGCTTATGTGGAGATGCGTGACTCAACCCAGAACAATTTGTAAAACTGTGCATGGAAACTATATTTAGGAGGAGATAAGTGGAAATACGTTATGACCCTTGATGAAACAAGGGTTTACTTAAATGACTGAAAGAAGAAAGGTCTTTTTGTTACAGAAAAGGAAGAGAAAAAAATGTGCAAGCTGGATTCCGTCGATGCAAAGAATTAAAAATACGAAGAGTGAGGAAAATTGTTAAAACCAAGTCAGCGTACTATCAGTAGAAATTTTTACATCCAATATTTGCAGAAGAAATTCCATTTCTTTATTCTAATGAATATAAAAGAGTGAAATTTCATTAAAACAAAGCAAAAATCATACTTTGAAACATATGACTAGATTTCTTGAAAAAAATGGAGACTAATACAGGTGTCGCATACATTTCCAACGCATTCTTGCGAAGTCCCCTAATATTTCACTTATGGACTGTTGTGCTTTGGTCTCTTGAAAGAGCACTTTTAATCTCAAACCCTCCACCGAACCTAGAAAGTAGTAAAAGAGGCATGCATATCCATACCTCTGAAAATTTTACGAAAAGCCCTTCCATCATGGAAATTACGATGTAGACTTATAGTCTAGACTCTAGAAAATAGCCTGTTAGATCAAATATTTAAAATAAAACATTGCGTATTTAAAAAAACTGTGCATTTTAAACATTAAACGATTCTGAATTCTTTCTAAAAATGTGTAAACACTATCTGTATTTCATAGTAGTTTTTATCCACTATAGTGCATAATTTAACTGGACATAAATAGGAATATATAAATATCACTGAATCATCTGTTAAAAGTTAATTAGTCAGTCGGAAAAATAAACAAATTGTATAGCCATTCATTTTTTTGTTTCAAATTGACTTCTGCTGAAATACAAGTGTAATATAAACAAAAACAAACGCAGAGGCACCCGTGACTTCTGTTATTTACACTATATTCTTTTCGTTTTGAATATTTTTTTAATTCACTTAACAAAGTTAACTCATTCCTCAAAGTAAAATATTTGAAAACATGAATAAAATGTTCATAATATTTTCCTGCTGGTTATAAGATTTATTTTAACTGCCCTTGGATTAACAGTGATTTTGAGTTACGTGAATGTTACCCAAGTAACATCTATCACCCAGGAATTGATTGCAGTTGTGTTAGCCTAAAACAAGTGAAATGCATTTAAACTTTACTTTCTATAAATGCAATTATTAATTTTATTGAAATTCTCGTTAGAAAAATTAGATGTGATGTTAGCACACAAATAAATATTTTATATCATAGAATGTGTCAGTCTTCATTGCATAGATTAAGATTCTCCTTCAAGACATTAGTTATACCCGGAAGTCAGTTGTAAGAGCTTAGGTTATATCTGAAATTCTAAAAGGTTGTAAATGTTGTTTCTGAAAACAAATCTTATCAGAAAATATAATTTCATTGCTATGATTTCTTTTTCCTGAAATTTTATTATTTTTTATTCTTTTTATCATAACTGTTTAATCATGTCTTTTAAAATTAATTAATTCATTCACAAATAAACATTCTGCATTTTATATGGGAAAAAATATGAATTAAAATCAAGAAATCTGAGGTTTATTAAAAATCATCTTCGATTTTAAGGTCATTCACACCATATATGCATCACTGATTTTAATCGCTGTTTTCAGTTCAAAAATATTGATTATACGACTTTCAGTTTCATTTGAACTAAAGCATGCAGTCTCCTTAAAAGCAAAATGTAGTTTTTTCCTTGGCGAACTAATTATATGCTGTAAACTGTGTAGCGTCAATTCTGATCACCATGACGTTTTTAGTCATAGCTCAAACGAATAATATACAACTGTACTGTATTAGGATTTGATAGTACTTTTTATTAGATTATTAGAAGGTTATGTTGTTCAATAATATTGTCAAGCTCGTGATGATGAGTTTATTTTGTATATAATTACACGTTACCTCGAACGTGTCCTAGACACAGTTTATTCCTACAAAATATCATTTTTAAACGTTAGGAAAGTTTTCACTAATAGCATTTTGAGTGATGCTTTAGCAGTGAATGCCAAGGGTTGTAATGCTTCAACTTCTTCATAGCCCCTAAACGGCACAGGTTCATTATGCCATGAGATATTGCTGTATGGCATTATGTCGAAAGGAAATGCTTTTTTAGGGATACTGTCTATTTATAACTTCATGAATGTGAACTGTAAACTTGGAAATCTGCAGTGTGATTTCCTTTGATTGCTGTCTATAGGAAAGAGGAAACTTACTCTGGCTCAGAGAATGCTATGCTTGCAAGCAGGAACACTGGGATCTGAGTAGTTTACTGTTTACTCCGGATGAAAACTATTCAGTGATTCACTCATTGCCATCATGGGAAGAAACCTGCTAAAAGGTAGGCTTTGACATTTTAGTATCATTATGATGATGGTGGTATCATAGTGTAGAGTGACATTTTATTGGATTCCTGAGCACTTTTCTTATAACTTGATGGAAGAATTGTCATTATATATTACTCGAACTTTTCAGTGGGATAGTAAAGTTCTAGAACATCTTTTAAGTGGGATAGTAAAGTTCTAGTTCCTTTTTATGTTTTATAGTACAATCCTATGTAAAATTAGTTTATCATATAAATACTTGAATGTGGGATATCTTTTCTACGCAAAAATTAATAAACTACCCTTATTCAAATGTTATTTGAGCAAGATTCCATATTGTTCACATTTGTTCACTGTTCAACATGTGCCTAAGTTCGGGAGCTTGAGGTAATGTATTAAATCTCTAACCACCTGAAATGTTTGGAACAGCACTGGACGAGTTTTGCGGATAAACTTGAAGATTTGCGCATTACACCATCTTGAAGATAATTCTGTATTTTCTGTATTTTTTTAATTTTCTCTTTTTTTGGGAGTAAAATATTCACATATCGAGAGCTGTCTGGTTACGGTTATATGATCTGAAGAGTTTCAAATATAATCCTTAATTTTTGAATAGCAGTTTAATGTTACGGAATTCAAACATGCTGCATAAAACTTCAAATAATGTCATTTAGAAATGTTTTCATTCTTTAAAAATGTTTTCAGATATATTTTTAAATATTTATATTTAACATTTGCTTATCTGGAATAAAACCATGTTTAAGGTAAAATAAACAACTACAAAACCGTATCTTTTCGTAGGTTCAGTCTCAGAATGAAAAGATTTTTAAAATGATATGCCCTAAGGACAAGGGCTGCAGTCCTGAAAATGTAAACATAACTTGCAGCGAAGCACTATCAAGAGTTAGGAGGAGTCTCAGAATAAGTGATGTTCACGCTGCTAAACCCTATGAATTGGAGATCCTGAAACATTCGCCTAGTGAGTCTAGATATCGTCGATTCCTGAAGCCAGATGTGCATCCAGTACTCAAAATTTCATTTAGTTTAGAGTTGCATACGAATGAGTCTGATACCACGGAGGAGAAACCGAATGTAAGTATGATTTCACTTAAAGACTTTATGAAAGTGCTATCGAACTGAACTGTGTTTCTTAAAGATAGTAGTAGTGTGTATATATGCATTTCATAAAATCATTTATTATTAAGTTGCTTTAATTTATTTTAAAAATAGTTTATAATGTATGAGATTAAAAATTCATTGTTTTGATCTTAAAAATCAATAATTTGTCTCTCTAACAAAAATTATATACTAACCTTGAACTCCAGATTAGTTTGAAAATTTAGAACTGATTCCATTCATTCAAAGAGAACCACACCAGTTAAAATTAGCTGCTGAATCTCTATATAAATCTAAAAAAATATTATTACTTATGAAGTTTCTGACCGCTAAAGACGAATTCTCAAATAATAAATTTAAATAATAAATTTCAGCACTTTTTGAATTTAAGTCACCAAACAGCACTGCATTGCATAAAGTAGAAGTTAAGTTTACGTATTTTTAACCATCTCTTTATATTGATTTTGTAGCAAATGTTTTTAGCATTGTGTACTTCTAGATGAACAGAACTGATTCGCATTTTTTGTACATTGCTTAGTTCTTGCTGCACTTTATAATATTTTCATTATTGCAAATAATGTTACTATTTTATCAAAAACCCCTTGCTTAGTGTTTTACAAAATTTGGAGTGTACTCTTTGAAGTAAGGTCGTCAAATTGTTTTTGCTTTACTTATGTTAGTGACTGCGTATTAGTTAATGACTGTTTCTTATGTACTGTGTAGCTTTTTGCAGTTCTCAAACTGGTGTTTTTATTCAATTTAGTATAAGCATCTGCTGTAAACTGTGTTATTATTTTGTTAATTTCATCCATATATCTCATCTGTACTGGTCCTTCGATGAAACGTTTCTGATTCTGAAATGAAGAAACCACAGGTAGCGGACTCTAACATTCTTTATTTGAATGGACTGCTTCACACAACCCGAAGTACACATGATTGATGAGCCACCACATTAGGCTAAAATAAGCGCAGTTGTCAGAAAAGTCATTCAAGTTGCTACCAGTAACACTTCTGGCGAGCATTACTTGCCCTGTATGCTCCTTTTCTTCTTGCCTTGTCTCTTCCCGACAGTATACTGATTTAAGCACGATATGACTTCACTAAAACCGTGTCACAATATGAATCCCGTTTGAAACATTCCGGTCCAGTAAATTTTAAAATATCAACACTTAATCAATTATAATTAGTCATACAGAGGTTAAATAATAGAAAAGTATTTAGAGTCTCACTTGTTTGGCAACATAATCAAGACTCTATGTAGATCTAAGCGACTTATCGCTATCTTCTCGACTTGCAGCCAGTTTAATGCTTCATTTACATTTTACAGGGGCGGCTTCGTTTTACACTTGACTTTTCACTGCATAAAGTCTTTTCTTTTCTTTTTTTTTTTTTTTTTCTTGGTTTCTTATTTATCAGAGCTGAATTTTTTTTTCTTAATTCAAAGGCTGCAGGTTTTCAAATTTCATTTTGTAAGATTTTCATCCACGGTATCTACTAACATGTTCCTCGCCGCAAAAAATACAGGAGGGTATCTTATCAGTGTTTTTGCACTCCTGGCATTGGACACATTAAGTAGATTTTGAGGGGGGGGAGTGTATTTTTAGATCATCACACTTTTACACATATACTGAATAGTGAAAAACTGATTTGGCAGGTACATTCCTTCTCAGCTCGAGGAAAAAAATGGGAAGCTTCTCAGTTTTTCTAATCTTGTAAATCGCTTCACAATGGAGAACTTCTTTCTGCGTCATTAAATATTGCCTCTTCATTTACAGATACTAGAAGATTTTTTTAAACTGCTGTCCTGTGTCTTTCACTTGCTGATACGTTTGGAACCAGATATTCCGTTTTTTAAGAGTTCTAGTCATTTTTCTGAAGTCTGAGGAGTTCTTCACATGAACAAAGATAGAATGAATTTTCATATGAGTCTCGCGATCACAAATTTCTGTAAAGGTTATCGATTTTTAACCAAAAGGTTGAGTTTTGTGCAAAATTATTAAGGAAACTTTCCTTCTTTCAAGTTTTCATTTTCTCAATCTTTTGCTTTTAAGTTTTCAAAGCTGTGGAAAGGTTTTTCATGCTCTATTTCCATGGGTTCGATATTTTTAGAAACTTTAGCAGGATTTCTGAGGACTTTCCACTCATATTTCTGTATGTGCATATTTCTTCAAATATTCGAAGCTTATTCGGTTCTGATTTATTTACCTTTACCTCTGAGTTTTTTGGTTTTATTCAGAAGTGCATCGACAACTTTCTGGATTCCATCTTCATCTATCAATTTTTATTACTTTTTTGGATTGGTCATGCGATCACAGCTTTACGGGGGCATCAGGTTTCTCCTTGTCAGTGTGGAGTTTCACGTGGCCTTCGGAGGTTTGCTTAGCTAAGCCTTTTTTCATTTCTGTATCGGAGAATACTCTCTTAAAATTCGATTGTTTTTGAAACTTCCTGGAAATTTTGTTGAGAATAGGATTTTGTTTTCAAAATTTCATGTGGTCTTGAAGTATGCGGTTGAGTCTGAGAATCAGCATAATCGCTATAATCATCATCCTCGTAGTTATCATGAGTCCTGAAAAACAGTTTGAGGAGCTGCGTAGAGTTTGGCATTTTTAGGTAGCATAAGCTATGTCCAAATTCCATGCAGACGTAGAGCGAATTATCACTGTGTCTGAAAAGAACTTAAAAATCTTAAGAAGTTTTGAGAAACATGCCTATCAAAACACAACTGGAATGCAAATGCACGACTCGTACTTACAAATCAACCACGACTTGTGGCGATGTTACTTAAAGTAACAGCCAAATACAAGTTTAATACCAAGTCTCATAGCCAAAGGTTACACAAATGATTTAACGCGAAGTTGGCTGAAACTTCTCACTTTACAGTAACAATTTAAATGTCGGCAGCTATGCAAAACCAAAGAATGCAATCTTAGCTAAGTTAGCAGAAACCTAGTAACTTAAAACTGAGAGGCAGAAACATTGTTTTTGGATTGTAAGACAACAATCTGAAAACCTCATATTAAATGTTGATAGCTTACTCTGCATTCGGTAGGGAAACGTAAAGGAAAAGTGACAGTAATGATCTGAATCATAATAATTGGTTAAATTAACATAACAGTACCTTACAAGTGTAATCCAAAGCTACACTTAAACAATCAAGTCAAAATATTTCGAGAGAACAGAGCAGCATGCTACACGATCAACGGTTACCGCTCCAAATCTCCGTTCCATATGTCAGAACATATGCACCGTTCGAGTCGTTCCAGCAGGTAAACACAAGTCATTCAAGTTTAGTTCTCGATAACTAAATAAATTGGTGAATGGGATTTTCTTTTTACCCCTTAAGGAGCACAAGTTCTAATCAGTTTCTCATAATCTACTTCTTGAAAATGTTCTTTCCACTACCCACCATGTAACCAACATTGTATAGGTATGTAAACCAACCTTTCAAAGGAATTTATCAAAGAAATGGCTTATTACAGAGCAAAAGGGAACCGAAAACTTTTGAGTACATAAATAAATTTCATTTTAGATATCGAGTTCAGATTGGAACCTCCAATGTTTATAACTTTGCTTAAATTAATATAAGAATCTTTGTTTTGTAAAAGTTAAGAATCTCAACAAAACGTGGCACAAATTTTTGATTTCCTGTTCTAAGGAAAGCGTATGTCCATTTGTTCAGTCACATGCTTAATTCATAGTAATTTTTATTAAAATCTTTCTGATATCAAGTAACTTAATTAAAATTTTGTTACTTCTTATCACCTTCACATAATCTTCGTTAAATTTAATTGAATACAAAAGTCTTTATGGTAATATTTAGAAGTAATTTCATAGCCTTAGTACTGAAGCCAAAGCATAATTCGTATTGCTCAAATAGAACTTAAAACATTAAATTATTACTTACGTAGTTACCATAGATTTAATAAATTACTATACAGCTGTATTTTACCAGATGGCCATAAAATAGCATTCCACAGATAAATGCTCTTAATGTTCAACGATTCGGAACGAAATTCGAGATATAATGTTTTCTCGAAGAACAACAATCAAACCTTCACTGTTGCCGCTACAGCAAACAAGTTTGAAATTTTTTCTTTTAGTTTTGGCATGCAAATTATAACAGTTGTGTATCTTGTTGAACATATTGCGTAATTTTTTTTATTCCTTAGGAGGAGAATATAATAGATGAACTAAATAAAGAACCGGACTCTCTTCTAACCTACATGAACGAAAAGGTATCTGGAAACATAAAAGATGTTTACAACCTAACGTCTGTACCCAGTCCTGAAATCAATTACGAAATCATGGCTGTGTGCTCCATTGGTCAAATTAGAGTGAGAAATTCTTGCCGTAAGTGTGATTAGTAATGGTGATAATTATTGAATGTATGTTAATTATTAAATACGCATTTGCTCATATAATTGTAAATTAATTTAATTAGTGTATTGCAACTAGCTACGTATTTTCTATGATGAGTTATTGTTTTGAGAATTGCTTTATTTCAAAGCAAGTGTCAAAACTGGAAGTCGTCCGCTTGCATAATTTGCTGCACACTTCTGATCTGTACTTCTGTTGCAAAGGAATACCGCGAAGATATTTGTGGTTATATAGTAAAACAATGGCAATCTTGTTATAGATTCGGCAAACTGCTGCAGAAGATGTCATTTCTAACACTTTGCTCTTCCGTTTTTGACAGCTTTCAAATGTATAGCTATTTTATGCATATACATTAAAATGAAGACTAGTTAGCTGATGAATAATTGTAAAATAATGTAAAGGAAAAATAGGAAGATTTTGAGGAGAGGGGTTAACTATAATGTTTAATCACTATCTGTGCAGAATTATTCACGTTAGTTCTGCTTTTTAATTTCGTTGAATTTATTTGCTTCATTACTGAGCAGATACAGAGTTTAAAGAATCCGTAATCAGTATAATATCTAAAGTGTTATTAAAAATATACTCCATAACAAAACAAAAAAAAATCGACGCACCAAGAAGGAATCATCCGATTGCTTTAAAATTTCGTACGCATAAATGTTTTGACCAAATATGCAAATGATTAAAATTTGGTGTCCAATAAATGAATAGTACAATCTCCAGCGCATCGGAACTGCGCATCCAGCAGATTTACATAAGGAGCTATTCTTGAAGTGTTAAAAATTTCTGTTACATTGCGATTAAGGATACCTTTCGACGACTGAAAAAATGCCTCGCCGCAGGATTCGAGCTCATAACGAGCAACTTTCAAGAGTCGTATCATTCTACTGAAAGAGGCAGGTTAGGCAAATCAGAGCATTGCTCGTCATATGAGTCGAAGCGATGCGACGATTAGATGATGCTAACAAGAATGGGTGGACAATGACAGATTTCAGCATCATGATGGTAGCGGTCGACCTAGAGCCATAACAGATCGGGAGGACATTTAACTGTCAGATCAGCTGTCACAGTGCTTGATTCATCGCTATCAGCCATTAGATGTGCGACCTGTACACGGTCGCACGTCCCTTCATGACCATTAACAGACACTTCATGACCATTAACAGACGGCTGATAGAGCAAAATCTACACTCGTATCGACCGTTATGCCACCTGACGCTCACGCCTGCACACTGTCGAGCCAGATTACAGTGGTGTTTGGCTCGATCAGGTTGGAATGATGCTGACTGCGGACGTATAGTCGTTAGCGACGAATCCCTCTTACAACTGTGTCGTGACATTCATCGAAGACGTGTCTGGAGACGCCCAGAATAGCGTGCCTATCCTTCTTTCACTATTGCACGCCACAACCAGGGGTTATGGTCTGGGGTGACGTTTCCCTTGATAGCCGGACCCCTTTGGTCGTCATTAGAGGCACACTTACAGCACAGCGGTACGTCGACAACTTTCTGAGACCTGTTTTGCTACTGTTCCTTTGCAATACCCTGGCCTTATTTTTCAGCAAGATAATGTCAGGCCACACACTGCACATGTTGCTATGAACTGTCTTACAGCTTATCAAACGCTTCCTTGGCCAGCTAGATCGCCAGATCTCTCTCCCATCGAATATGTCTGGAATATGATGGGAAGGCGACTGCATCTACGAGGGAGCGTTGATGACCTAGCCAGACCATTATACCGCTATTTGGAGCAAATTTGGCAAGAAATACCTCAGGAGACCATCCGGAAACTTTATCAGTCAGCTTATATCCAGGCTAGGAGGTGAGTCAACACCTTATGGAGCTCGTTACTTTGTAACTATATAACTCTGAAATAAAACATTCAATTGTTCTTAAATTTTAATCATTTTCTATTTCTGTACATAATGTTCCTATCCATCAATTTTTGTCTCCATCGGAAAACTCCTTCTTGGTGCGTCGATTTATGTTTTATTTTGTTATTATAGAGTGTGTTATGAAAATACTTTCATAATATTGTAATTTGGAACAGAAATAAATCCGCTATGGTATAGAGATTTTGTTTTTGTTTTTTATGTTGGAACAGCTAAATTTAGTATTCATTATGCCCATTCAGCAGCATTTCCAACACAAGTTACTGCAAAAAATATTTAAGAAGATGCAAATAGCACTGACATCGTACTTAGCAGCTGACGTAAATTTCTGCTTCTGATTTTAAGGTTTTGATCTTGCTCGCCTTGCCATGACTAGATATATATGACCTTAGCATATCAGCTGGAAAGATGTTTCAGTATTAGTCTGAATGCCTCAAAGCATCCACAGAGCTTTGAATCAATAGGCTACTTTAATTTATAAATGTAGCGGCAAGGATGGGCAAAGTTTAAATTCGAATTTATATAAAACCTCTGGGCATGAAATATAGTTTGTTATTTTAAAATAGGCACTCCAAGACCATTCATTGCCAGCCCTCCCCATTTGCAATTGAAACGCTTGTCATCATCATCACACAACGGGTATTCTTTCCGGCTCATTTGACTATATTAAAGTCTAATTATATTAAAGTCTGTTACTAGTAATTGCTGAAGTCATTTTCTGAAAGTAATGTAATACGTAAGGCAGAAGTCTATTTTACAATGATTTAGAAATTTTATGCTTAATTGTATCTGAGATTTTAAACATTTATTGCACCATTAGCTAATGTGATATTATAGATTCTTCTCCTTTTTTGATACACTTGTGCATTTGAAAAATACTTACAGCGTGTTTCAAAAAGAATACACGTATTTCGAATGCATATATTTATTAAACTGTATGACATACGAATATGAAACTTTACATGAAACTCTCAAGTTCAAATTACAGATGTTACAGATGTTCAATATGTCCTCCATCAACTACACGAACATTATCACATCGGTACACAAATTCCTCCCATAATCTGGAAAGCATGTCCGTTGTCACTGATGTTATGGCAGTACGGATCCGGTTTTTCACCTCTTCCAGGTTCTGTGGGAGTGATGGTGCATAAAAGTTGTCTTTAATGAAATCCCACATGAAGAAGTTACAGGGTGTCAAATCCAGTGACCGTGGAGGCCAGCTGAAACATGTCAAGTCGCCAGCCCCTTGACGGCCAATCCAACGGCTCGGTAAAAATTCATTCAAATAATTACACACTTGGCGACACCAGTGAGGGGGTGCCCCGTCTTATTGAAAAACGAAGTTGTCTTCGTGCAGCCTCAGAAACAACCAGTTTCGTATCATAGCGAGATACTGCTGACCGTTAACCGTGTTTCCATCAGAAGAATGGGCCGTAAACAGGTAATCGGGATATCGCACAAAACACATTGATTTTGGGCGAATCTCGCACATGTTCAATGGCTGCATATGGGTTCTGTAGTCCCCCAAATTCGAACATTGTGTTTGTTTACATGACCATTAACATGAAAACTCGCTTCATCACTGAACACGATGCGTTGTGCGAAAGTGTTATCATTGTCAATAGCATCAATAATCTCGTTACAAAATGCCACACGTTTGCGTTTGTCATCAGGACGCAGAGCCTGTAACAAATGTAACTTGTACGCCTTCATAACCAACCGACGTCTCAAAACATGCCAAATTGTTGTTGTAGGCAGTTGTAACTCCCGACTGGCACGAAGAGTTGATTTTGGAGGTTTACGTTGGAAAGCAGTTTGAATTCGTGCAACATTTGCGTAGGGAACACGAGGGCGGCCAGGACTCTTTCCTTTACATACACAATCCTGTATTTACAAACTGTCGATACCATCTGCGAATGTTCCACCCATTCGGAGGATCACTTTGGTACCTCAACTTGAAACGTCTTTGCACTGTAATCACGGAATTGCACTTCGCAAACTCGAGAACACAAAATGATTTCTGCTGTGGAGTAGCCATTTTAAACATGTGACGGTTACTACGCATAACAGAAGACAACTGACATCCAGCCGCTATTAATAAAAACGAGACTAGTATTCGTTTCGCCAATAGCCGAGCTGAGGCGCAATGATCGATAGTTTGGACAAAATAACACTTTGTAATACGTATATTCGTTTTGAAACACGGTGTATATTTTAATATAATATTATGCGGATGCTGTATTGTAGATGGCTCTGTATCATTTATTATGTATCCTGATTTAAAGTATTTCCTTTTGCGCTTGCCTTTTTTGTTTTTCTTGCTGTTTACTTTCTGATTTGAACAATTTTATATTTTCATGATTAATTACAGGTAATATAAATATATGGCAGCGAACAAAAAGAGAGATACAAGTCGACAAAATATACTTTCTAACTCATAATGACTCAATCAAGCGATCGTCATGTTGGAGTGCTTTTAGATTGTACTTTTATTTATCATCTCATTATATCATCCAGCTTTTTGTAAGGGGACCGGCATATATGAATGAATTCGTTGACAAGATAGATAATTTTAAATGATAACTAGATAGAAAAATTAGAATAAATATAAGACACCTGAACCCCAATCATTCTCTTATTCTCATTTGCTTCATTCTCATTCTTATTCTCATTTGCTTCATTGAATCATTCTCTAATTTGCTTCTCACTATACAGTCTATATACAAATACATTCAAGTTATATATTAGCCCACCAGCGGCCGAGCGGTAAAGACGCTGAACACTGGTAGTTCGGTCCGAGGTTCGAATCCCGCGAACGGGCTGGCTGCATGGGCGTTTTCGTGGTTCCCCATGTGTAACGTGTATACGAGCCAGTTTCCCTTAGAAAGTCCTCCACGAAAGGCATCCCTCCCCTTAGGCAGATAGCCCTAGTGTGCTTAGCCATAATTAAAAACACCACACCACCACCAAATTATATATTTGTATATCTCAAATATTTGTATATGTCAAATGTATTTGAATATGTAAATGTATTTGGATATGTGAATGTATTTGTATATGTCAAATATACAAATACATTTAAAATTATACTGTTCATTAAAATATTTTACGTAGTTACCCCTAAAATTCTAATTCATTATTCATACAGTTTGTGCTTGGCTAATAAAGTACTCTAGCATTTTGAATTATTTCTTGTTTAAAGTTTTATACTTGGCTGGGTTACATCTGGTGGAAATAATAAGATTTAATGCCATAACTTCAACAACCAAACTTTACATTCTGAATAGCGTTAATAATGACTTTTTTGCCAGTAAATCTATATCCCAAATGAATATTGTTTGCTTATTTTCGTTTTCAGCATTTGTGTATGGATAATGATTTGTTTTTTTTTTTTTTTTTTTTAGTCTCTACTTACGACTGTATGTTTCTAAATTGAGCTTCAGAGTGATTAATCTTCATTTTCAAGAATTATTTTACTTTTGTGCTATATAGTTTTTTGTAAAATTTATCTTTAATGCTGATAAAATAATGATGTGATTCATATCTCATATTTTCCTTGAGATGTAGCGTAGTAGAAATTCTGAATAATCAAAAATAGTTTTATTTTTATAATTCACGAATAAAAACGAATTCCTATGCTATTTTATCATTTTTGCAGTCAATTGTCCGGCTGGAACGTTCAAGGATGATATAACAGAGTCATGTAAAGAATGCCCAACAGCAACATATCAAGATAAGGAAAAAAGCTTATCCTGCTTGCCTTGTCCGAAAGGGTACACTACATACAGTATCATGTCTAAATCCCTAGAAGACTGTAAAGGTTAGAGCTAATCATGTACTATTGTTTTTAAAACATTCGTTTTCTCTGCTGTCAGATTTTCGTATGCTGTCATCTATTTAAAAAAATACGTCTTATTTTCTCAAGTAATCAATGGGTCTTATTTTTCACAAATAAATATATTACCTTAGAATGTTTTACATAGGTGATGCTCATTTGTATAGTAAAATCGAATGGTAAAGAGTTAAGTTTTGAAGCTATAAACTTTCGAACTATTATTGCATCTAAGTTTATGAAAAATGCTTTTTGAAAAAGGTGTGTTAAATTTTTAAAAATTTAGGTAAATTCTCAGTTTACTTGCTTACAAATATCGTTTCCATTTTCTTTCTTCGAAACTAAGAGTTTTACCTATAGAAAACGTAAAATATTTCTCAAGTACCGTTTAACATATTGATTTACGTATTCCACCTGAGGAGAAGATTTTGTGTCTTGTCATACCCATATTTCACGACGTGATTTCTCTAATTCGAGAAAGGTGATAGAAAAGCAGATGTAACGTATCTGAAGAACTATCACACTTGAGCCTAAAATTATAAAATCCTTTATTTTCTAATACGTTTGATGGAAAAGTAAAACTCTAGGCTCTGTGTTTTCAGTTGCTTATTTAATTTTAGAACTGGAGTTTTTTTTTTTTTTCGGGGGGGGGGTTAATTTTTTCAAATTTAGTTTTATGTATATATCTGCATTTCCCCAAGTGCTTTCTATATTTTTTTTACCTTTGATTCTAAAGCTTCTTCTCAAAGTACTTAGCATCTCATATGTTTCATTTTATCTTTTAAATAAAAGCACTTTAAAGCATCTGCCCTGTAGTGTACTCAAAAAAAAAAAAAAAAAAAAAAAAAAAAAAGAGCACTATAGAATTAAACAATTGAATATGCGGAAGAGACGTTCGCTTAGCTTATGCTCATTAAGTATGTAAACTGAATTCTAGTTGTTTACTTTGATTTAGTTCAATGAAATGATAGATAAATGTATTACGTCTTCCTTAATCTTATCCTGAACATACATTTTTCAGCTCCTTGCCTTCCTGGAACGTATTCGAATACAACTTTTGAGCCATGCTTAACATGTTCTTTGCACACTTATCAAGAATACAGTGGAAGAAAAGACTGTCGTAAATGCTCTCCTGGTTTATACACATCAAGAGTGGGAAGTAATTCATCGAGTGATTGTGCTTGTAAGTTTATCATTTTTGTAACTAGTTAAATACGCAGTATAAAGCAGGTAATATGTGTAGATTAATGGAGCTCACATGACTTTTACTAAACGTTTAATTTTGAAATTAAAACAAATATGAGGTCTATAGCCCGCTGTTACTAAAACTGTAACTGCTACAGTTTACTTCATATTATTGTTGCCCCCTCGGGGCATATTTTCTGCTCTAATATTTACTTTAAAAATATCAAAACGTGTCCCAAGTTAAGTAAGAAAAGTTTATGTAAAAAACGTATATACAGTGCGAAGAAAAAAGGGGGGAGAGTTCTATACCTCCCGATTTACTGGGCCGACTGACAAAATTCAAATTGCGTTTTTCATGTCTCGAAAGCGCGACTTAGCATATATATTAGATTTATATATAGCACTATTCTAACATAAGTATTTTGACACAAAATCGGACCTTTTTCTGAAATAACATACCAATTTTTTTACATATTTCCATTCTACGACTCAAATTATGCCAGATTGCCAAGTATTGTAAAAATCGTACAGTAGTTTAAAAAAATTAGCTTTCAAAATTTTAGCTCCTCAATGTTAATTTAATTTGGCATATTTTTATTCATATCTCTTTTTTTATTAAACTTTTTTGATTTTTCCTTTGACATTTCGAAATTTAGATTCATTCCAAAGAAAATTCAGCCATTTTTTTGTGTTTTATTTTTTAAATTTCAATTTTTAAATAATTTTTATAGATTTTTCGAAAAACATTTTGAATTATAACCTATAAAATTTTACCATCATCTTAAATTAGGTGTAGTTCTAAGCACACCTGCAAAAAATTTGAGTTTTTTGTTCAAAATTCTCTAAGATATACACGAATTTATATATTTTCGCGTATAGAAATTTGGCATCTTTTTTTTTTTTTTTTTTGAGCGATAATAACGCCAAATGTGGTTTATGGATTTTTTAATTGAATTACCACAGCTATTTTTAACCTTAAATTTCAAATAAATTTTTACGAAGAATTAATTATATGAAATTTTCTCTCAGTGATGCGTAATAAATATTTATTAATACTATATGAAAACCTATTTTTTAAAAATTATAGATGATATTATTCAAATTTTTAACTTTTTTTTAAATTTCTTTCTTTCTTACTTTTTTTTAAATATTTGTAAGAGTAAATTTTTATCTTCGCCGTGTTATCGTCTGCTAAATTTCTTTCCTTCTTCCCTTTTTACTCCCTTGTACGAAGTAAAAAGGAAGTATTGTAATCGCGAAAAGTTTCAGGCAGCATATTTCAACGAAAATATCCATTTTGAGCGCTATCGAATGCAATTTAACGATGTTTTTTGCGTCATATCTGTACGTAAGGACAGAATAAATAAAAATACTCTTCCTTCAAAAAAAAAAAATTATAAAACTGCTTTAAAAACTAATTCTGAAGAGAATTTTTCGTGGCGTCTGTACGAACGTATGTACGTATGTATCTCGCATAACTCAAAAAAACGAGTAGCCTCAGAACGTTGAAATTTTTGTATAGAGGACTGCTATAAACATGTAGAGTGTGCACCTCGTATTTTGGTTGCAATCGGCCGCACCAAACGTATATAAATATATTTATATATATATCCACTCTGTTACCCGGCTCAGTAATCTCAGATTCTTTACTCTATATGTTGGTAAATTGTACATTTTTTTGCTTTAAAAATGATTGAATTATGTTGTTTTTATCTTCCGGTTAAGGATTTTATGCCTTTAGTAAATCTGTGTGCAATATTTTTAGAATTATCAGCAATTTTAAGTTGTTTAATGCCGCTAAGCCTGTTTTTTTTAATGGGGCCATTAATGTTTACATTTGAAACAGGAGACTAGTGGATTGTTGCCAATCTAGAGAAACTTAGCCTTAGCAGCAACAAAGATAACGCATACATTTAATTATTGCCAATTAAATCATGCTTAATTCTTTCTGGGAATTTTTTCGAGGAAAAAGCGTTTGAGATTTACTTCGTGATTTTAATATAGATATTTTGAGTTTTTATGTATTTTTGCCTTCTCGCGAAGTGAGAACTGAATTAATTAAATGAGAAATACTCAATCGTCTGTGAAAAAACTGTTTCTGTTTTGTTGTTTGCTTAATTTCTTTATACATAGTTCTAGCTTTATTATAGTATTTGAATAGAACATGTGGCAACGATTAGATAATTCTTTAAATGATATCATTTTGTGCATTCTGAGTTATAATATGAATGAAATATAATACTGTTAAGTAAACCTAGTGCCAGAGAGTGTCGGTTATGGTAAACAAAGTGAATTTTAAAGAATGCATTTATTCTATTGTGGTTTATGCGCTGTCGGCGAAGTAGGTTTAATTCAATCTAATAAGTTTAAATAAAATGCAAGAAAAATTGCGTATAATTTAATATTTCGTACAAGGAAGTCATGTGGTGTACACATCAGATTTTTTTAAATACTTGTAAGAGTAAATTTTTACCTTTGCCGTGTTATCATCTGCTACTTTATTTTGCATTTAAATTGAATTCCCTAAAACTGAGAAAGTTCGTTTGATGTTTATTTTCACAAAGTTTTAATCGAACAGGACGTTGACAGTTTGGGTCATGTCCCATCTTTAAAAATTATATATATAAGTATCCATTTTTACATTAATCCTCTTCGAAAGAATGTTTTAAGTAGCTAATTTTCTCTCGTGTTATAGATTGTATAAAAAACATGATGTTTAATAGGATTTAGGTTTTTTTGTAGCCGAGATAATATTCGGGTCACTCAGTGGTACAGAATAAACACTGCTGGACTTCTTTTTCTGGTCATTTAGCAAAAAATATTTTAAATAAAATATTTATCCTTTGGACTTTGCTCTAAACTTTATTTATAGTTAAAATGCTTAGAAAATGAAAAGCTGTCTTCAATTGAAACGCAGTTGATGTAACTGATATTTTAAAAAAATTGACAAGAATGCAAAATTTATGGAAGTGTAACAAAATCTTAATTTTCCTTTGTGGTGAGCACTGAAAATAAGTGTATAAGGAAAGAAGAAAAATTAGGGAGAAAAGTAAGCAAAAATTTGAAGGGGAATTTGGCTGTCAGAAATACCAAGGTGTTTCGAAAAGTTGGATGTTTTTGAATATACTTTCAGAATACTTCAAGGAATTTGGGTGTTCAAAGGGAAAACACTTGAACGCGTACACCAGCAAATACTATCAATTGAGCTTGTGCTAACGGAAGAGACAAAAACGATATCATTGCAGATTAAAGTGAAGAACGACTGGTTTTCGACTATATGTTTGTATAAATTTAAATTACGTTATAAAACATCATATCATCATAAACGGAGACTCCCATGATTTCTTAGTCAAATTATTTGAATATTCAGGAATTTATCCAGTGATGTATGTGGATGTCACCTAAAGTCCCTCTTGATGAAACCAGTCTTTTCTTGCATCTCATGTCTTCAAAATGCTTAAATGCTTCAAAATGCTTCTAAACACTGAACAAGGCTCTGACTAAATACTGATGAAACGGATTGAATTAGATTATTAAGTTGCGGTAAAGCAGGGTTATCTGCCTAAAAAGGAGGGATGCCTTCGTGAAGAACTTTCTAAGCGAAACCATCTGGCATACACGTTACGATGTAAAAATCACGAAAACGCCCATGCAACCAGCCCATTCGCCGGGATTCGAACCCCGGAGCGATCTACCAGTGTTCAGGGACTTTACCGCTCGGCCGTTTGTGGGCCTTTATGAAATGGAAGACGAGAACTTTATTTAAAATAAATGTCAGAAATATTAAGATATTTCGAAAATTTGGATGCTTTTTAATATACTTGCAGAATGCCTGAAGAAATAGGCAAGCCATTAAGAAGAAAAAAATAAATTTTTACACAAAATTTAGTATTTTTTTTTAAATTTAAACCTTTTTAATCTTATGATATTTGATTCTTGCGATTTCAAAAATAAAATATTTGACTAAAATAGGAATAACATTTTAAGAAACTAAATGCAGGATGATAAAATTGTGCAAAGCAATGAGCACAATCTTAAGCTATTTAAAGCAATATATGTAAGTCATTCTAAGTTAAAATGTCGGTTATAAATCTTTCTCATTTATATATCTTTTCTGAATGGAACATTGAAAGGCGTGTTAACTGTGCTTTACTGTATTTTCTCTTTTAATATATTCAGTTTTCAGACGCACCGTAGCCTGGAACGCAAAGTACTCTTCCGAAAGAACCGCAATTCAAATAAATAAAATAAAATCCTGCAAAATATATATTAATAAATATATTTAAAATGCTCACTTTGAATGAATAAATAGAAAATTTTAAAACAGTTATCTGAAGAGACAATGCGACATAAACAATTAAAATAAAAGTCTAAAAATTTAAAAATTACCTAAAATAATAACTATGACAAAACAAAATTATAAAGAAAACTATTTAAAAAAAATAATAAGCGATGCACCTTTTATTTAAACTACGCAGTTCGAATGGGTAAATAGAAATTTTTAAAACAGTTATTCGAAAGAGACAATGCGACATAAACAATTCAAATAAAAGTCTAAAAATTTAAAAATTACCTAAAATAATAACTATGACAAAACAAATTATAAAAAAACTATTAAAAAAAAAAAGAGATGCACCTATCAGGTTCAATGTTCTTCTAATTTCTTCGGAAACATACAATGACCTACTAGAACAGAGAGCTTACTAAAGCTATGTTCACTAATTGTAGTAAGTGGACAGGATAAGACGAAGGGTATACAAACCCTTATTTTTTTTCTTATATAAATACTTTTCCGTACTTCGGAATACAAGACCCCCAACCGGGGTCTAACTAAAAGATATCAAAAAAAAAAAAACTCTATAATTTAACTTTATAATAAGATTGGCCTTATAATAACAGAAAGCGTATGTAGCACAGAGACTGTGAACACTACAATACGTTTAATTTATCAAGAGGATTAAAACCTCTGGCCTGGAAGGCAAAGTAAGCAACTGCGTA